TTTGTTTGTTATTATCCAGACACAGTCCGGGGCTGTTCCAAAATAGCGACCTTTTGCGTATCCCGACTACAACGTACTTGTCACCACGCAACTGCATGTCCCACAACACTCTCTACACATCCTGATACAACGCTTCCAGACTCTTAGAGGGTTTGAACCGATGTTGTGTGTAAAAACTTCGGCCCAGTACCAAATACGAAGCTAAGTCGCGTCAATGGACTCCGCTGGCGGTAGACGCCGTCTCGATCAGACTGATCAAAACTCAACAAAAACGGGTCAATCCCAACAGATTTTATTTTGTTCCAGTAACGAGAGGTATGAGTGGTGGTAAACTCTTCGTGTAATAGGACAAAGGACAGTTTACCTAACGTTTGTCGGCCATTTCAATGCTTGGAAACTCGCTGTAGGCGCTGTAGCCCCAAAATGGCGTCGCACGGGACATGAGGGGTCGTGACGTCATGATGACGTGTGGTGAATAAGCTCTATATATCTACCTATTTTTGCGTTGTGGGGACCATACATGTAAAGATATATTCAAATCTGTCTCTAACATCGAGACTGTTGAAATCTATTGTACTTGATTCGAGAAATGTAAATAGCTTGTTACGTATAAAATCATACTTGGTACATTCCATAACAAAATGAAATTTATTTTGTATATGCTACGAGTACTAGTAAAAGGTTCTATTCCCACAGGAAGGCACGCCGACCCCTCCAGCCGCCATGCTGGAAAACGAGACCATCTGCGCCATATTCCACGGGAACATCCGCCCTGACGTGCAGATGGTGAACGACATGTACGGGGTCAACTTCAGGTTTTACTGTGAGAGACCGCGCAGGCTGGAGTTTGACGTCAAGGTGCTGGATGTGAGTGAAGATTCGTTCTCAATGGTCGAGCTATACCCTGGGCCGAGGGAAAATTATCACGCTATGACTCCCATGGAAATAGCCGAGCCTGCAACTCCTCTCGCGATTGCTGGAATAACTACACCCAGAGTGAGTACTATGCATGTTACTAAAGACCTGGTCACAACCCGCCGTACGTGCATCTGCGTGCTGTCTACGTGCAAAAACGTGGAGAAACGTAGGGCATCCGTGCGTGGTGAGTACTGCCTCCGTGCGGAATCCTACGCAGACACGCCGTAGAACTTTAAGTGCATGTAAAACTTTTTCTGCGCACGGTCTGCGGATTCACCGCCCGTGCATGCGAATAAGAGCGACGCATGTGCCCCGTACGTAACGTACGAAAGAAGCACGTGTGAGTACGGCCTCCTTACTTTAAGGTTGCAATCGCACGGATATCGTACGTTGTAAGCACGTACAACTCACCACTTGCGCAACGAATGATGCACGCAACCGCTCACGGCCAGACGTGGCGTACAGACCACACTCTTACACCTTGCGCAACCGTGCGAGTGACGTGCGTCGACGCCACTCCTTCCCCATGTTTTCAGAAAAAACGTAGCAGACGTGGCCTCCCAAAAAACGTACGGACAAAAAGCACGTACGGCGGGTTGTGACCTGAGCTTAATAGCTCTACGTACTGTCGGAATGTTATGAATGTTTTATATGAAATATTTAATTTTATTTGGTAAGGATTTGTAGTTGTCATTAAGGATCCTTGCATCTTATGGAAGCAAATGTGAGTGATGTTAAACATGTTTGATTTGATTTCTGTATTATGACCAGTACTACTTAATTTCCTGTATTTATTTACTTATATATTATGTTAAGTTATAATTTAGGGTATATCTGATTCTGACTCTGTACTCTGTACTTTTGAGTTGTTATGATTTTGTCGGTGTCTTATAAGCCCATATGGGCTGGGCGACGTATGGTCGCAATGACACGTTAATAAAGAAATCATTCATTCATTCATTGTTGTTTTTCGACTAATCAAGTCATCTAATTTGTAAATCATTCTACTTACCTCCTAGCAATAACAACTTTTTTACTATTAGAAACAAGAAGTCAGCGGCCAGGAATCAGAAGAGAGTAGTCAACTTCACAACCGTCAGGAGTCAGAGAGTGGTTGGCCGTACAGCGGGCAGGAGTCAGAAGAAAGCGGTGCTGTCGGTGGTTCCATAGCTGATAACCCACTGATCAGGTACGATGATCTTAATCTTAATCTTGTAAATACTGGATCAAGACCCTCTCGGGTATAACGTCCAGGGGAGATCTTGGGCCGCGGCTAGGTACGGCCGGTGGTGGAAGTGCTCGTAACAAAGTGAAACAAAACTTAACTATCTGACAGGTACAAAGTGTATAAGGGTAAACAAGAAAGGTGTAAAAAATACACCTAGGCGACGAATTGTATATTATGTAAATTAGGGTATTATCAATTTAATTTATTTTTATTATATGTACGAATTGGAATACTTCACTTCATAAGCTACATGTACATATATGTGCCTGGTTATCTACATGTCGGCAATCGACCAATATCGAGTCCCCATTCCTGGCTCGGTGTTTGTTGCTATTGTTTAGATTAAATTCCAATCTTTTATAAATATTTTTAAAGGGATATCTTATGTTTTACAAACATTTCAAACTTGTTCTTAACTTCTTAAGAAATTTCCGTAAATTACAAAACATTCGAAATATTTTTGAGTCCGCGAACGATATTTCCAATGATTTTTAAAGAAAGGCAACTCGGTTCTACCATTTTTTTTAATTTTTGTAAATGACCCGTGACGAAGTAATTTGCACATCAACACGAAGTGTTCTGTGAGCCAAAAATAGGAATCGTTGATGAACCCTGCGGCGATCCTGCCGTCGGCGAGCACTCGACACGATAGCGGCCAGCCATTGATGCTTTTAATAAATCTCATACTCTAGTGAAACATCAAATCCTTTCTGTTGTACCATGGTTGTACAGTCCATCCATATTTCTTGAGATAAAAAAATAGGTACCCATTCACAAAAACGCCTGTAAATTCATGGATCTTTCTCGCACAGTATTACGTAGATCTATTACACGGCGCCGAAACATGTCAAAATACACTCCGTCTTCCCTCTCGTCAAAAACGCCGTCCGTGCAAGTCATGTGTGCTTCCAAATAGTCCGCGGAAACCGCTGGCATATTGCCGGTAGCTCGGGCGATCGCGATCTTCGGTCTGCATCGGCGCGTGTGACGTCATGATCGGGCTCATTTGTATGCAGGCGTCTGCCTTTTGACTACATGGACTACAAAGGACGCCGCCGGAGGGCGTAAACCCAGATGCCGCGGGTGAAACTGCACATCAGGTAAATACGAAGTTTGGCTGGTAAAAAAAAGGAAATTAAAATTAAGATCTCAGTTGATTGCCACTTTCTAAATTTTTGCAAATTATGACATTTTCGAAAACATGCTACTCAAGTACGTACATTTTTATAATAATTTCAGAATATTTATAATATTTTCAAAAATAAAAAGATTGAGAAAATATTAAAGGTATTATTTTAAAAAACACGCGGTGACTTGGAATGGACTCTATAAGAGCACACGTACAGCACATGAATCCATGTAAAAATCTATCAAAAGTTGTAAGACATAAAAGAACATACTACTTGTGATGAAAGCTCCTTGTATAAAGTCAGTAGGAACAAAGACCACTGGATACCGGTGATCATTATCTAGTCTACCGAAGCGATCCTTTTCTCCACCGCTGCAAATTTTACATGCCCGGTCAAGCGGCCGTTGACCTTATATAATAGAAAGCAGGACAATATAGTTTACGTGCGCTCTGGACTCTGGATCGATACGCAAAAACCATATGTACATGTATATCATATACATTATCATTATGTGCATATTCTGTAAGGGTAGGAATAGGCTATCATACCCAAACCTTTTCGCAGGTACGGGATTGTCAGAAAAATGTTTATGAAAGGCGGTATGAACCCCCAATGCTGCAGATATAGGCCTGGCGTGCTTGTAGGTGCTTGTATTATATCCTGGATGCTGTCCGTGTGCTGGTTCGCAAACAGGCCACGGTCACGAGGTCTGGTTTATAGATGTGTTGTCCGCCACACACGTTTGCAGGGACACCAGTCCATCTTTTCAAGAAAAATCTTGAACCTTTACATAAAATGTGGACCAAAAAGTGGACCTTTACATAAAATGTGGACCAAAAAGTGGACCTTTACATAAAAAATGGACCAAAAAGTGGACCTTTGAGCCTTGTGGGGGGGGTTCTTCCGAACCCCCCGAACCCCCCCTGGCTACGGGCATGACATGCATCCAAGGTTGATAAATAAATAAATAAATAGAGTGACCACAGATACACTCGCCAGAAACGTACAGAACGACCTTATAGGACTCTTATAGAGGTAAAGTTGATCCGCGAAGATCAGGCGGTTCCACAAGTGTCATCTGTTGTTGTTCTGTCGAATTGAACGTGTTGCGGTGCGTAGATAAGAGCGCTCCTTGGTGACATTCGTTGTTTCCGATTCCGAATGCAGAAATGTATGTCCAGATACTAATATTTGCTATACACTAGATCTGGCCTGTCGTTCACAATTGACTTTTTCAGTGACTATGTCTTTACATAGCCTCTACCAGACTCACAACGCTGGCTATTTATAGTAGAATATTTGCCAGGGGAGTTTGACCGCCTTGTAGGACCTTGTAGGTTTGACTGGCCTTCGGAGGGAAAGATTTAAGGGGGTCATTTAACTACCTTCTCGCGGCCGGACTCCCTTGGCCAATTTTAATATCTTTTTCCCCCGAATTCTACGATCCGTATTCCCGTAGAAAGGTCTGGTGGAGGCTAGTTTTTATATGCCTCAAATCGCCGCGTCACAATGTAACGTTGGATGCACTTTTGTCCGTTTTTGTGGGCACATATTTTTCTTTGTAGCGGTTTTAGGACAAACAGTAAAAGGAAACACAACAGAAGAAGAATAAAGACACACATTATTTTTATAATCTTCCATTGGTATTATCGTTATACTAAATAAATGGAACCCGTCATTTCTTTTCGGCAGCGTTTTGGAATTTGAAAAGGCTTGCGCTGTGGACATGTGCTCATGTTGGTAATATAAGGGGCTTTACGTTTTCAGGTTTCGGGGAAGGTTTCTGTTTGTTTACACCGCCGCTAGCGCACTACAACAACAAGCTTGACCCCTTTCGCACCATCCCATACAGTGACCCTGGCCAGATGGCCGGAGGTTGCCTCGCACAAGTTGTTGTGGTCAGCAGAAATGTAGTTAGATAATCGTATTCATTGTCTTGGCCAATCAGGCGTAATTGTCTTACAATTAGCAATATTTAATCCCTCCCAGATATTCCAAACATGGACAGAGCTGGCAAAACATGTTAATAAGGATGTGTCCTCGTATAAATATCACCGCGACCTACTTTCAGACTCATTACGCACGGAAAAAAAAACCCCCACGTCCTTCGGCGGCGTGACCCCACGACCAGGCCGCGGGACGTGGAGCGCGGGTAGCCCGGCCAATCTGGAGCAGCGCACGGGCGTAGAATGCAGGCAGCCCCGGCCAACAGCGCGCGGACGTGGAAAGCGGGTGTCCCGCGGCCCGGTCAACCCTCGCCGGAGCAGCGCGCACACTTGGAAGGCCCCCGGATTTTAGTCGTGCAGGCACGGAGGTAAGCCCAAACTTGAGTAGGTTGAGACTGTTCTTTTAATATTGGAACCATGCCATATGTAGTGTGTATTTGTGTCCACGGTCTTGGTTCATGTTGCCTTCTTACGTGTACCATCAAACGGTGTATTATTTTGGTTTAAGGTTTTTTTGGGTAATGTTATGATTTTTTTGTTGTGCATGTAACATGTAAGTTGTTCCATTTCGATCAGTCCGTTTTTCTATGCAGTCGTTCAGGCTAGGTGACATTGTCTCTGAGCGGCCCCACGTTCTGCTCGGGTAGCGTCTCTTATTTTGAAATTTAAAGAATCGTTGTTCTCACCGGCGTCCTGACGGTTCTGATACCGCTTCGTCCAAATGTTTTCCTTCGCTGTCAATCGTTGTTGTAAAGCTTGCGTAAATAACTCCTTAATTTCGTTTCTACACTATGATAACCCTTTATATTATTCTAAATGACGTACCCACTAAACTTAGCCTGTTGCGATTCTCTGGCTTAAAGTAGGTGTTGCCCCCAGCTTCTGACAACAGTGATTTTCCCCACAGTTCCCGACAAGTCAACGTGAAAATTTCTAGTGGTTTGGGGGAAATTGGGTCACAGAGTAAAGATGAAAACATTCGCCTTTACATTTGTTGAGGATGTAGAACTGGTTTCTTAAGATTATACAAGAAGAAGCGCAGGCGGGCGTCCATGACCGTAGATATACCGGGGAGGCTACGTATATACGGTGCTAGGGCGAATAATCGTTCCGTTGTATTTACAATCAGTTCCTTGACTCTGCTTCATACGTTTTGAGACTGACAGTTCATCGTTTTCAGAAAAATCCGCGCCTTGGACCGTCACATACATGTATGCCCTGCTATCACCATGGTACATCGCGTGGATCATTTCATTTCCCAACAGCCACAACTATCAACTTTAAAACAATCATTTTAAAAACTTTGCTTTGACTGATGTTGTGGTCTGAGTAAACAAGGAAGCGATTCGAATCTGCTAAATCTGCTGTCTCGGCGGGGTTGATTGGACGGGGTGAGAGTATAGAAGAAAATTCGCCCTTTGTCTGTACAATAATTATATACTAGAATAGGGTACTTGCTCATTAAATCTTTTGGAACTTTCCCTACTTTTGCTTTTTGTCGGCTTATAATATCAGCGGTTATAGGAAAGGTGAGTTCGCTATAATTAGAAATGCATAATGCGGATTTGATGGCCAGTAAGCGGCAGACCATGCGGGTCTGTTGGTTACATCATCGTACGATATTAAGAAAGTACGTGGCTATTGACACACCCGTTGTGGATATAAAATATTTCTCTTTCCTTATTGACACACCCGGTGTGGATAGGAATTTTTTCTCCTTATCGATCACTTAGTGTGGATATAAAAAATTATTTTCTTATTGACACACCCGACGTGGATGTATTTTTTGTTTATTGACAATCCGGTGTGGATACATCCTAACCCTAACCCTTAATGATTGATGCACTTAAACTTTGCTGCTCTGTACGCATGTCTTCTTCCGCGGTCACGCTGAACGCTGTCGAACTATGCAGAATAACGCAACCCTAGAATATAACAAACTTCGTTAACCTGTTCTACACTGTTTCTTTCAGCTCTACATGACGAAAAACACAAAAGTTACTCAAGAATACAAGACAGAAGAAGTGGAACAAAATACCAGGTGAGTGCCTAACCATCCTTATTATACGCAATATTGTAAATAATCACGATAGTTAGGCAATGTTCGCATCTCTATAGTACTTCTTTCACGATAAGCTGTGTGAGTTTTGAAAAGTACCATGCTTTCTATGATTAATGATTGCTGGGAAAACAATGAAGCCTGGGTGCCAGGCCCCCGTGCCATGATTCAGTTAAATTACATGATAGGACTACTAAAGCAAGTGGCATATGTAATTGCGAACGAGAGAAACACAAGCAGATATTATGTAAATTAAGATTTAATTTGCATAATTAATGAGAAATTCAGCAATGTTAAAAAACTGTTAATTTCGTTCTACAGATCTCGCCTAAATGACACATATTCAACCGACAACTTATGCACCTGGACCACTACCTGTCGTTGCCATAATTGTTTAGTGATTTGATTACTCTTTTTAATTGTTGCTTGTTTGTTTGTTTGTTTTGTGTCTATGTTTCTAGAGGAGACGGCCTAGTAGAGGAACTCTATGTTCCTGTTGCCGGCTCCTCTCAGAATTTTAAATTCTGTGAAGTTGATTAAATAAATAAAATAAATGTTGTAATTCAGCAATGGTAACTGCCTGGAATTTCATACCTAGGGCATTTGAAAGTTAGGTGAAGGTAAACATCATTAAATCACATAACTTATTCAAATATGGACCTCATTTGCTTTTCTTTTTTTGTGTCCACAGGTAAATTTCGCCATGTCTCACCCTGAGATGCAGACTGCAGCAGGGATTCACTGGCAAGCACGAAGCCCAGTCAAGGAAGGATCGGGGTGTGCATTCATGTTTTGCACGCAAGAAGATTGAAAAGTGAATGCAGCAGCATCGTGAAAGCAAAGAAAAAATATGAATAAAAAAAAGCAAGACTGACACAAACACGCATGGTGGAAAACACACAAAACATCATCATTAGCACACAGTTAAGTTATAAATAAAAGCCCA